TCATCAGATTGTTTTTAATTCCAGGAACATACCAAACATCTTTGATCATAATATTTTTTCCATTCTTCATTTTGACTCTGACATTTCCCATACCTTCTGCATTAAGATAATTATCATCAGCACATCTGATCTTTGTTCTCCTTCTGGAGTCAAAGTCTATTAGCCATTGTTTGTTTCCAGTCAAGTGGTTTGAACAACCAGTGTCCATATACCACCAATCTTCTGAACACTTTCCATCAGAATCAGAAGCCATCAGTAGCACGGGTTCATCATCAGAATCTCCTTTGGATATATTTTCTTCTTCTGATTTCCTTCCTCTGTTTCTACAATCTCTGGCAAAATGGCCAAACTGTTTACAACAGTAACATTGAACCTTCTTCTTGTCATACCTTTCTTTTCCCTTCTGATATTTCTTTTCATCAGAAGTTGAGGTTTCTGACTTCTGGAATTTATCACCACCTCTATTCTCCTTCTGGTCCTTCTTGACAAAAGAAGCCTTCAGAGTTTACTCAACTTCCCTCTCAGAAGTTCTTTCAGTCAGATGCAACTTTTGCGCTTCTAGACTGCTTTGCAACTCTTCTATTCTCATGGTTTCCAGATTTTTAGAATGTTTAATAGAAACAACAATGTAATCAAACTGAGGAGTAAGCGACTTCAGAATCTTCTCTATGATTACCTGTTCAGAAAGTGTTTCTCCACAAGCTTTCATCTCATTAGTGATCAGAATCATTCTGGAGATGTACTCAGAACCTTTCTCATTGTTCTTCATGTTGAGATTCTCATATTTCTTTCGCAGGGACTAAAGCTTCACCTTCTTCACTGATGCGTCACCACTGTAACACCTTACCAGTATATCCCATGCCTCTTTCGACGTCGTCGAATCAACAATCTTCTCAAACACACTTTCATCCACACACTGATGGATATAGAACAGAGCTTTCTAATCCCTCTTCCACGTATCTTTTTATGTAGATCTTTGTTCTTCAGTAGCATCTGCTGCAACTAGAACATAACCATTGGTAATAAGATCCAGAACATCTTGAGCATTAAATAGCACACACATTTGTATCATCCATCTGTTCCATATTTTGCCATCAAAAACTGAAAGTTTAGTGTTCAAACTACTGCCTCCGTTCATCTTAAACCTTGCACAAATCTCAGATCTCAGATCTCACTCAATGTTTCCCAAATCCATGGAATCAGTGTGATTCTGTTTAGATTTTGTTGAAGATTCAACAGAAATCAAACACATAGCTCACTTTCACTCGTGTTTCCCAGAATTTCATAAGAACCAAGTGCTCTAGATACCAATTTTATTGGTGCAAGGTGATGAAATTGAGGAAGAAGAGAGAAAATGATGAATGATAAAAAGTTGCTACAAATGATTGAAAAGGGATTGAATTAATTAATGAAACCTAGTACACCTATTTATACACAAAGATAATAAAGAGAAGAATGCCACATAGGCCCTAAGAGAGAATATTCCAAATATAGCAAATACTAAATTACCCCTTTAATAGAATGAACAACTATTAGGCGGTGACACAATTTTGAAGCGCACTAAAAGTTTACCACGACTATGAATCTTTTACCATTACTTTTTAAAAAATGAGTTATTACTTGCTGATATACTAATGTCATGGTTTGTTTTTCTCAAATAGTATATCAATGAAATCCTGTCTTTAGTTTTCATATGCATGGTCGATGTCAAATTTAGATAAAAGAAAAGAGTTGGGTTAGGCAGTCGATACTAACGTAAAAGTTTGTCGAAACTCTATGACATAGTTCAATTACGAAATATAGGCACATTTATCGAAAAATCTATGGAAATAATATACATTATAGTTAGGAGGAAGATTAATTTATTGTACCTACAAGAAAATAAGTGGACAAGTGAAAAGATAAAAGAATTAGACAACTCAGAATTTAAACTCTAGTACACAAGAAAATTAAGATTGAGAAATGGAATGGAGATTATTGTGAACAATGAGTGGCAGATGTGAAAAAAAGTAAGAGATCGAATCATAACTTTGAAATTTGCAGTTCAACAAGACACTTTTAATGCTATTAGTATTTATGCACCTTATATTGGGTTATCAGAATACCTTAAGGTAAAGTTTTAAAAGAATTAAAAATGTTTACTTCAGAATATATCTCAGGGAGAGAATCTTTTTCTAGGAGGGGATATAAATGGACATGTATGGAGCATAACAAGAGATTTTGAGAACGTGCATTTTAGAGTTTTCGTCGACTTTTGATCTAAATATTATGGTCTCGGGGAGATAAATGCATAGGATAAATTCATGTGGAGTTTTCGTCGACTTTTGATCTTACTATAGCTAATATATGTTTAGAAAAAGAGATAAGCATCTTATAACATATAAGAGTGGGGTGACATGTTCTCATATAGATTTCTTTTTTATTCAAAAGTCAAATTAAAATATTTCTTGAACTATAAAGTTATTATGTGAATCCAACATAAAGTATTGATTATGCATGTAATAATCAAAAGAAGAGGAAAGAGAAAAAGTCAAATGAAAGTAGCATTTGAAGAGTGAAAACAATGAAGTTTCCAACACAATATTTTGGATGGAGGGTTTGGTCAACCACAAGGAAGTTTAAATAATATGTGGAATAAGATGGCTCAAGATTTAAAAAAAGTAGTCAAAGAGACATTTGGAGAATCAAAAGATTTTGAAACTAGGGAGAAAGAACCGTGGTGATGGAATGAAAATGTTTAGAGTAAAGTTAGAGTAAAAAAATGCTTTGTTTTAAAGAAAGATCTAAGTGTAAAAATGTTGAAACGTGAGAAAAGTATAAGAAATCTAAGAGTCTGACGAAGAAGGCACCAAGAAGGCGGTGAGTGAAAAAAGAATTTAAGTTTTTGGTGAATTATACCAATTTTTAAGAACCAGGGAGGAGAAAAATCTATGCATTGGTTTGCTAAGTGAAGAGAAAGAAAGACAAGAGATGAGTGGTTCACCAAACTCTTTAATGAAATTACGAGATCAAAGTAAATGTCGAATGAATGGAGAAGAAGAACTTTAGTTCTAATCTATAAGAACAATGTGTATATATATATATATATATATATATATATATATATATATATATATATATATATATATATATATATATATATACAAAATTGTGTAAATTATTAAATGATTAAACTTAAGACATATCATGAAGTTTCGAGAAAGAGTGATTGAACAAAGACTAAGAAAAGAGAGTCAAGTCACTAAGAAAACAATTTGGTTTTAGGTTGACCATAGAATTGATTTATCTACTATGATGTGTAATGGAACACTATCGAGTGTACTAATAAAACTTGCACACAATTTTTATTGATTTAGAGAAAGTGTATAATAGGAGTTGAGATCCTCTCCATTTCTCAAAAGAAAGGAAGAACTCCATTACTAAAAGCTTTGGTGCATAATATATATGTGTTTTTTAAAAGTGTGACAAATAGTTATATAATTTAACTTTTATATCACCAAAACTTTAATAATGAAGCTATTCATTTCTTTTGAACAATAGAGAGGAACTCAACTCATATAATAGTGTCTAGAGAGATTTTATAAATAAATAAAAAACCTAAAAAAATGATTAGAATTACATATATTTAAATTATTCAAATATTGTAATAAATATTTATTTTTTTATTATTCAAATCAATATATCTAATCATTATTTTAAGATCTGCAAAACTCAAAGGGTCACTTTAAAATGAATACGAGGGATAGCTTTTTTATAAAGTTAGCATTTGATTTCATCTGCTTCCATTTATGATATTTTAACCAAAAGAAGCAATTTAAACAATGTAAGCAACCCGTTGCATAAAAGCTTTTTTTTTGCAATCAAGGTAGAAACTACGTGCACAAAAGCACTGATAATCACTTTTGGGAAACAAAGGTAGAGCGAAAAGAAAAAGATACGAAAATAGAAAAGTGAAACAAAAAGTGCATGAAAACAGAATTGAGAAACATGCAACCCATACCACACCAATTCTAATCTTGTGGCAGAGAGTGATCTTGATGCAAAAAACAGGACACGAAAAGGGGAAACTTTTGTCACGCTTCTAAGCAAAAGTAACTATGGGATGTGAGAAAGTAAAGTTAAGAAAAGTTAAGAATTTATAAATATACTTGTCAATAAAATATATAATCTTTTATTTTGCCTAACTTAGAACTCTATTAAATGTGCTTAACAACTCTTGAATGAGTGGCATTCTTTGTGAGAATTTCTGTTTCAACTTCCTAAAGAACTGATACAATATTTAAAGGACAAAAAATACTTTGCATTGACATTTTTGTGTGCTTCAATTCGTCTTGCTTTTTTATCATAGATTCTATCTGTTTTTATGGAGTATAAAAGGAGAAACTTTAACTAGGAAACAAGGAAGGAAGCTAGAACAAAAGGCCTAACAGGTCGTGGGTATTGAGAGACATGTTTAAAGGAGATTTTACGAGAAAGTGAGAATTCATTGAAGAGTTTAACGATTCTTATTGGCTTTACTTGGCACTTACTGTCTAGTTTCTTCCCTCTTCAATGATCACTTATTTTGTGTATATTTCTCCTATATTTATTTGTTTCTACAGCATGATCCTACCAACTTGTTTTCATAACTACAACTATTTCTCGTTGAAAATACTTGAAATTTGAAATGCTAGTGCCACAAGTATTTCGGTTCACAAAAATTTTAAGAAACATGATAAAAATGGTTTCATAAAAAATGAAATAAAATTTCTTATAAGAAAAAAAACCTTCATACCAAGCAAATTAATTTACATAACCTCACCCGACCTAGAGTGGGCGTTAAGAGAAAAATGTTTCACTACCGAGTTCTAGGAATCTAATGCTGACTGTTAAAAACAACTGACAGCATAGAAGGGTGTAAGATCTAACATACTTACAAACCTAGGACAAAACAGGACAGATTTAGATACACATGTAACACTTTTAGACAGGCTACTAGAAATACTGCGAACATGAAAGTCTCAGTAAAAGACCGATAGAAGTTGAAATAGAAGCAAACAATAGCAGTGCCAATGTTGCCAGTATGAAATCATTTGAGATGTCTGAGATGAAACAACTGAAGAATTTTGAGGAGCCTTTCCAGCAACAGCTGGAGCCACTGCATGCCCTTTGATTCTTTGCTGCTCATCTGCGGGCAGCGGGTTTGACGATGTCTTGTTTGGAGGGGAGAGGGGCATCTTCTTACCAAGACTGAGATCCTGACCTACAAATGAGTAAGATTTGAACTTAAGACCTCTTTCATTCTTTGGATGCCCGTGATAAGGGGATATATACCCACCGGTTAGAAAAAAAAAACCATAAATATGTATGTTTTGTGAGAAATACTGACTCACAATTTGAACGTGACCACGCTAGCTTCTTGTTTTCCCTATCAAATACCAACCGGTATCCCGTCATGAAATTTTCTGCAAATAATTTAATCAGCTATACGTTCAAAATACATTTTTCTTCAGAATCAAGAATAGGGCAATCAGTATACTTTTCTAGAGAAAATATGTAAACTTACGTCCAATAGTTCCCATATCCCCTTCGGTTGGCTGTATTGCTAAACAAAATCCATCAATTCCCTGCACCAAAATAACCGGTCATTATAATTTAGCTACATCTGTTGCAAGAGAAATGACCCTTTTTTTCATTTCCCTTCTTGCTTAAACAGCTAACTGAAAACTGAACTTTCATGTGGAAAACTTTTTCTATTAGGTTAAACATAAAGGGAAGTGTTTCTCAAGTAACTGATTCCAAATAACTAGTCTATATCTATATTTATGATAAAGCCTCTTATGATCATATGTTTTACTTTTTCACCTCTCCTTCCAAAAGAAAGAGGAACCACTTAATCCACACCCACCTGTTCGTTGTAATATACAAACACGGGATTATAGACCACAAAACTGTTATTCTGTTGGAACATGAGTGTCAATGTGGGAACCTTAGGCAGCTGTTGCGAACTGTTTCAAAAATAAAATATTGTCATCAGAAAGACCAAAAAAATAAGCAATTAGGACGTCAAGAATCGAGAGTTGAGGCGGGAGAGGGAAAGAAAGAGATCTAAGTAAATTCACCTGGGTACATAACAATACTCCCAAAAAGATCCTTGAAAGGTTGATCTTGTAGCATTTACTTGTTTGTCAAACTGTCAAATAAAATTATATAAATATCCACAGAAGAGATTTACAATCATGAAATTCTAAAGACAAAAGTACCTCCTTAGCTATTGCTTCATATGCATGACCCGGAAGAAACGTAAATGACGTTCCACTATCAAACTGAGCATTAAAACTTGTTACTTTAGGACAAGAATTTCCAATACAAGTGGCCTCCACTCCGACAATGTAGGTTGAACTGAACAGGAAATTTATCATAATTAGCAGGAGACCATTTTCAAAATTATTTTTAGTATAGTAAAAGGTTGTAAGCTAATTAAATGTAGATGATTTCATACAATATTCCATCCAAGGGCAAGAATGGAGTAGACTGTTGCACAGTTGATCCCTGATCACCAAAAAATAATCTACCGGAATCATCTTCATTAAAGCACAACGAAAAAGAATCACGGATTAGTCCTGATTTAGCAAGAAAACTCGGAACTGAACCCTGCCCAGGTCCCAAACCAATGACACCATCTGGAGCATCACCATTCAAATACTCGCCACTTTGCTTCATACCACACCTGCGTTCAACAAAATTTACGTTAGTCAATAGGGACACACTGTTTAAAAGAGAAACAGTGTCATTGGGCAAAGGGATGTTGAAGTGACAAGGACACAATCAATCAGGTATACCCGACAACAACTGAAGCCTGAACAGAAGAGTTAGATGAGCTGCCACCGCCGTCGCCGGATTGAAGATGCAATATGTCCTCAACTAACAACCCAGAACTTGATGTATTTTCTGATGTGTAATTGATAGTATACGGACACTGCTGCTTGGAAGTTTTACAATTTGAACCCATATCACATAACCGATGGCTGCAAGATATATGCTTGCTGGATAACGACCTAGAGGGACTATACTCATTCAGATCTCTATCCTGCATAATAGATGCCCCATATGTGAGGGAGCACCTGCCAATCAATTACTGGAAATAAGTGCTAAACCAGCCACCAACTCTTAGCTTAGACTCTAAAAACTTCACCCAAACATGCACCAATAAAGCTGAGGTGCTAATATGTTATTTCCCGTATTACTAGTATTTAGCAGTTCAACCAAAATAGCACATGAGAGAGGGTTGTGGCATAACTATTGACACTTAGATTTTATCAATTTTCAAGGACAAACAAATCTCTGATTATAAGCTTTGACTAGCATAAATGCTTATCATATGAGTGTCTATCTATAAGCCATTCCTATAACAAAAGATAAAATAAAGTTAAACTCATTTTACACACTATAAGTTGTATTCATATAAGCTTTAAGAACTTATGGAAATGGAAATAAGATGAAAACAACTTATGAATGTCTTAATTTGCTTTCGTAAGCTCTCCTAAATAGTACCACGAATGCTTATGCTGGTAATTAAACTCAAATAAGTCAATCCAATCTAATTACACATAAAGGTATTACATTTTCATATTAAATCTAACTCATCCTTACAGAACCAGGACTCTCCAATACGGCCGCACGTCCAGCACCACTGAGTGTTTGGCGCGTACATATTAATGGTAGATTGTATGATAGATAGACTCGAATACTATAAATATGAAGCACATACACCTAAAACACAACACCGACAATGGTAATAATTTGAAACACTGTTGGTGTCAGTTTCGGACATCTGACACATCTTTTTTCAGAGATGCATGTGCTACAGAGCTCAAATATCACTCTTTATAAACTCTATCCACACTTATTTGATGTACCTTTTTTTTAATAGAAGTACAAGTTAGTGTACATACCAAACTGGAATAGAAACTGGCAGACAAAGGAGCACACTGTATACAATCACAAGGAACCCAAAGAAGATCGCTCCCAGCATCCAATGCTACAAGAAACGAAGTACTCGGGGTCCCTATATCAATCCACGTGTAATGTAACCTATTAACATTGCAAAAAAAAAAAAAAAATCAGACTCAAAAATTCAAAAAATAAAATAAAAAACAAAAATAAAAAAAAAACACAAAAAGTAGAAGAATCGGGAATTACCAGGCCAAGTCGTTTCCAAACGACATCGTTTTGCTACCATGAGAAGGAAACAGAAGCTGGTGACGAGCGGCACCGAGGTTAACTTTATGCCTGACAAAGTCGTTTCTAAGAAGCCTCTGGTAGTACTGCATGCTCCGCCGGTCCGGCCAGTCGCCGGTCTGAACCCGAACCGGTTTCATTTCTTCGGAGAATCGGTGAACCAGCTTGGTGGAAAAGGTGGTCGGAACCTGCATTGCGGAAGTAACTGTCACCGAGAGGAGGAACGGAAGCAAGAACCGCCACCGTGACGGCATCGGAGATCGAGATCTAGGAGTTTGTTTTTGTGGTGGTGAAAGTGATTAGGTTAAGATTAGTGTTGATTAGCGTAGGTAATTAAGAGATTATGAGTTGTTGAGGGAGGGGTGCGCAGTGTGCATCATGGTTTGTTCATTTGTTCATCGCTGTGTGTGGTGTGTCTGAGTGAGTGGGAATGAGAGTGACAAACTTGGTTTTTTTCTGTTTGTGGGTGGCGGAATAAAGTATAGTTTTTGACAAATAAAGTATAGTTAAATGATGGAAAAAGGTAAGATAAATGTGAATATGATATGCATTTATTTTATTTTATTTTTAATTAATTATTATTCTCATATTTAAAAGAGAAAAGAAGTGATGCACTTAACTATCTACCAATCACAACTTTGTATTTAATTATACTCCACTTTTATTTATTTTTTTTTTTAATAATACGGTGGATTGTTGATTGTGTAAAATAAATTTACGGTGACAATATATGAATATTATTCTCTATTTTAAATAGTTGTTTGAGTTTTGAAATCTTAATATTTGGTCTTGTAACAACGGATAAATCCAATATTCCACCGTCTATTAGTCTAATATCCCATCGCTTAGTGGTAGGGATACTCTAAGACTTTAATCTTCATTACTAGGATTATTTTAGAAGTTGTTTGATTTAAAAAATACTAATATGTATACCCGTGCGAACTATGTGATAAAATTTTTTAAATTAAAAAAATAATTTATATAATTTACAAATGAAAGAATATATTACATCTCTTTTAAATTTTTATTTAGATGACATAAGTCCAAATAAATTCTCTCAAACATTACCACATTTACCAAGTAACAAGAAAATGAGCTTTTACAATAACGTATAACTTATTTATATATGCCCAAGCAAAACATATAAGACCATTTACAATGGTTGAAAAACTCAACACCCACTTTTTCAACTCCCAACACTCCACATCATTTTCTCTTTCTTCCACCTAATAACTCAACACTCATTCAACTTTTACCCTCTCCAATGGTTTTTCACTCAACACCCTACCCCACCACTTTTTATTTTCATATTCTTATTTAAATTTTATTTTTATTTTTATGATTACATAAAATTACAATTATCGATTAAAATTAAATTAAAATAATAAATACTTAATAATTTATTTTTTAATTTTTTGTAATAAAAACAAAATTGTTGGGATTTTGGTTAAATGGAAAATTAGCAGAATTTTGAGTGTTAAAATGATTATTGGGATCCATTTCACTAAAAAAAGACACTTAACTTCAAAATAAACACTAATAATAAAATTAAGATAGTGAAAAACTTAGTTTTTTTTTGTGTCCAAATCAAATGAACCAAGTCTCTATTTATAGAGAAAAAAAATCATGAATTTTGGTTAAAAAAAAAATATTAATTTGCAACGAAATAATTGAGTTAAAAGTATTAAATGAATAAAAATCTGGTCAGCCAATCAAGCACAGCCACGTGGCAGCTTCAATTGTGTTGAGTTTTCTCAACACCTCTCTCTTCCAACACACACTCAACACCTCTCTCAACACCCATTGGAGGAGATTTTGCATGTTGAGTTCAAACTCAACATACCCATTGCACATGGTCTAAGTTAAACTTCCAAAATTACAAAAGATAAAAGATAAAAGTCACTTTCTTGGAGAAATGTCTCTAGAATCTGAAAACTCAAGCATCAAAATAAAGATAAAAGTTTAAAATAAATATTCAAACAAAAATACAACTTTGTCAAATGATTACCTACACTAATTAAATCTAATATTCAAAAACACCAAGATAGTCTTAAGTATTCTTTGCTTCGCTCTACATCAACTTCAATTTTCAAAAACAAATTCTGCATAATTTTAACTTCAAAATATGCTCTCCATTTTTCTTCAAGATCAATGCACCAAACAATTAAGCTCTCAAAACAGTCATGTTATTAATATCAACAAAATTAACAATTATCACCTGCATACAAACAATTAACAACAACAAAATCATGACTCAAGACCAATACAATTGCAGCCATGTATTATACCAACCATATACATAAAAAAATCAAAAAAATTCACCATACCCATGGACCTGTCCTGTACCAGTTCAGTCACTTGGATCCACTTATAGTTCACAGGAAAATCGAAAAAAGAATTAGACAAAAATAGTTAGCACTAACAGCCCCCAATCAATTATTGATACTGCCCTGCAATAGTTCCCAAAATAAAAATCAAATAAATATTTAGTTAGTTGTCGAACACTGAATCACTTCAGCTCTTTGATGTAGTTGTCGAACACGAAATCGCTTCACCTATTTGATTTGTAGTCTACTGATACTGTATAATCTGTTTCAAATAATTGATCAACATTGGTGAATATAGTATTTGAATAGACGAACATTTCACAGTTTCAATTTTACTGTATAATCAATTTCATATAATTGGTAGCTTTGGATAACAATGAATCCTAATCTAAACCAACTTTAACTTTAGATAATGATATTGCATACCTTCTCTCAATCGGCTTTAGCCTGAGAAACTAACTCTTGATTCATTTCATCTACCCAACAACAAAAATATATACACACAAACATATATCCCTCCTCCAAAAGAAATGAAAATCTCACCACATTGGCTAAAAGTGCGCCAGAACTTGTAGTGCCTACAAAATCACTGGGATTCCTTTCAATTGTCTGGAGAAAATCATCAACTTTTTATTTTAGGAAATTTTGGGGATAGAATATTCAATTCTAATCTCAACTTATAAGTAATTTAGAGATAAAGTGAATATCGGTCGAAGAATTTGATGAGATATGAAGCTTGTTTAATTCATGACAGTCTCTTCGGTTGATCAGATATGGCTTGAAATGGAGATTTGGAGCTTGTTAAATTCATGGCAGTCTCTTATGTACCTTCACATTTTGATATAAGTTGATGCAACCGACTTCTCTGTGTCAGTCTCCTTAGTAAGTCTTTCAACAATAGTCCCTTTCTGTTTGAGGTGCGTAGATTATCAACCATGAATATGAAGGGTCCAATGAATTGAGATAGTCTCCTTTTGACGAAGGATCCAATGAATTGAGATAGTCCATTTTTACTCACCCCTTTATGAAGCCATGAATATGCTTCAAGACCCACCTGTAGAATTTGCAAAGTGAGTGAGAATGAGGTATGAGATTGAAAAATTTAACACAACACATATGAAAGTTTGAGGAAAAATGAAACCTTTGAATGAAATGGGACAAATTTATGATTCATAAGTCCAAACTACAAATCAATAAGATGGGAAGTTTTCCTAGCTATTTTTATAGCATAGCTGGATCATTAATCTAATTTCTCAAGTATTTATAATATTTGATAGAATACTCAATGAGACTTTCTTTTCACTTCAAGTCTGGTTTTGTTGATATTGGTGATGATAAATTGTTGAGCCTTTATCAAATCAAGGAGCCTATATTCACCACATGCCAAATCATTGAGCCTCCAACAGTCTCAATTGAGAATCACATTTCACTAACTGTTAACTACAGTTAACAAACCACTCATTTTCCTCCATAAAAAATAACTACAACAAAAAAATCTTAAAATTCTATACCCGATTCTTGCATGGATGCCGCGAATCACAGTAGTATTGATTTATTATTATTGGATTGGACACATTTTCAATCAAAATATTATGGAATGTGATCTTGGAGGAAAAACCACTCCAACCCTAATGAAAATTGACTCGACTCAACCGATTTGCACATTACTGAATCACATATAAAGAGAATGAAAATGCTACAGTTACCGGGAAACTTACCTGTCTTGTTTTGATTCTCACAACCATTATCAGTGTTGTGAATAAAAACTCCATCAACTTTGACATCGTGAATCTTCTCTCATACCTTTTGAGCACCTGCATTTTCTCAATATTTCATGTAGTACAAAATTCAAAAGACTATAAAAAATGTATCACACTAAGTAACAAAACATTTTGCCACATGTCCATGCAAGTCCTGACCAAACGATTCTAACATCATATCAATCTGCAGATGCATAGGTAACCTGTAATTAGGGGTGGCAAAACGGGTCTGGCCCGTTGGGCATGTTCGTTTTACCCGTAATTTAATGGGGGCGGGCCAAGAATTTATGCCATCAACCTCTAATGTGACTGCCCCATCCCACCCTGTTTTCTTCGCGGGCTTTTGCGGACATGATTATTAGCATAAAATTTTGCATTTTTAGGCCTAAAAGGTCCAATGCCTGCGAGTTTTCCCCGCCCCATACTCACTTTTTTGTGGGGCGGCCCTAGGTTTTAGACCCTCATCCTCAACTATGTCCGCTGATCAGTGCATTTTGATGCACATTCTTCCATGATTGTACTTATTCACTTTCATGGTTTGTTTAGCTTACTTTTGTATTTTATAGTGTTTTTCTATTTTAGTTTATTTCTACTCTTATTTGATTTTCGCACTTTATTTTCAGCATTAGCAGTCTGCACGAATAAATTCATAACTTAAGTTACAGGAGTCGGAATGAGGCGTGCTACCAGTCGTTGGAAAGCTAATAGAAAGAGCTACGATTTTTATTCATAAGTCGAGAGCTGAATCGGACTGCAGAAAAGCCATAAAATTCGTTGAAGTTGCAGCATTTTATATTTAAGTTTTGGATCATTTGTTTTGGGATTGGGTTATGTTTTCGACCCAGTTGGGTTATGAACCGAATCCTTGTCCTTGCTATACCTAGCCGCCGCTACAATAATTTAGTTTTTGACCTTTTCATTATTGAGAAAAAATACATTTTGCTTTTATGCTTGAATGAAGAACTGATCATCCAGAGTTGATCTACTGTAATCGTTTTCCGATGCTTTGAGGTTTTTAACTTATCAATTCAATTTCGTTTCTCTTTCAATTCTATTTTATGAAATTGCATTTGTTTAATTTGTTATTTCATGGAATGTCTTGATTAAATTCGTATGATTGTATTCTTAATCTTTGATCGTTGTTTACGTTACTTAGTCGTTAAATCG